AGGAAAGGAAAGGAAAGGAAAGGAAAGGAAAGGAAAGGAAAGGAAAGGAAAGGAAAAGAGGCAGCCAAATTATTTTCACTTTTCACAGAACAAGTTAAAAGCACTGAAAATCCTGCCCATAATATTTTTGAAAATTATTTTGCTATCTTTTCACTCACCCATAGTTTTGCTGATCACGTTAGAAGCGCTTGTTAATTTCTGCCTTTGAAATGGGTCATCAAGGATTTCAATTGGCAGGTGATAAGACATCACCAGCTCCTTCTGTGGGAGAAAAACAAAAACAAATATAAAGTGGATGTTTGAACTACTAACCTTTCCCTTCATTGAAACATCTACTGAGTGAATATTGGGCAATAATGTTCTGGAAAAGATCATAGGTGATTAATGGGATACAGCATAAAGTCATGCTCAAAATAGCAGAAAACAGTATGCTTAGTGATGTATTAGTTGCCAGTAATTGTTAGAGGTATCAAATTACACCAGGCATTTTGTGACACAGGTTGAATGCCAAGACCCTCACTATTCTGAAAATGAGAAAGAGGGCTAAAGGCATTTCCACACTACTCTTTATTTTCCAATTGCACAGAAATCAGCTTGACCTATGATTGGTGAATACCATATATCCTTCAGTGCTCACCTCCAGCAACCAAGAGGACAGTCCCTCCCTCTGAGATACTGCAGCTCTTGGAACAACAAAAATCCCCTCAACCCCACTTTAAACAAAAGGGCAATAAAATTGCTAGCCTATTCATTTAAAAGAAAAAATCTGAGTGACTGCTGAGTGATGGAATACCCACAATTCCAGGAAGCAGGTTGTTCTGCTTCTTGATAACTCTTTCAGTCAGGAAATTCTTCCTTATTTTGAGTTTGGAACTTCCTATGTACAGCTTTCACCCACTACAGGTAGTCCTCAACTGACGACAACAATTGGGACTGGAACCTCCATTGCTAAGTGATGTGGTTGTTAAGTGAGTCGCACCTGATTTTACGACCTTTTTTGCCATGGTCATTAAGCGAGTCACTGCTGTTGTTAAGCAAATCACGTGGTTGTTAAGCGATTCCGGCTTCCCCCATTGATTTCCTTGTCAGAAGCCCCCTGAGAAGGTCGCAAATGGCGATCACATGACTCCGGGATGCTGCAACCATTGTAAATACATGCCGGTTGCCAAGCACCCGAATTTTGATCACATGACCACGTAGATGCTGTGATGGTCATAAGTGCAAGGACTGGTCGTAAGTCACTTTTTTCAGCGCCATCATAACTTTGAATGGTGGTTAAATGAATGGTTGTAAGTCAAGGACTACCTGTAGTTCTTGTCCTACCTTCAGGAGCGATGGAGAATAATCCCATAACATCTTCCCTATGACAGCCCTTCAAGTATTAGAAGATTGCTATTATGTCTCCCCTTAGCCTTCTCTTCTTTATGACCCATCCGTAACTCTGCAGTGCAGTATTACATATGAAAAGGATGTCTTTTCTAGATTTGCCATAAATGAGCTAGAAATAAATCAGCACAACCAAAGAACAGCATTTGATTATACAGGTATAGAGATGCAAAATTCCCATATAGCCAAAGCATAGAGAACACTGATTGGAAGGAACACAGAAATAAAGCAAATATGTTTTGATAGTCAATACTAATGAAACTTCATTTTAAACACATCAAAAACAATCTACTCATATACTTGTTTCAGCATTTGACCTTCCATCATTACTGATTACTGGCATTCTCTGTGCATAATAGAAATTAGTATGTAATTGCAGAAATACAGCAGCTTTCAAATATAGTTCTGAATTCATTACTTGCTTACTTTGATGAAATGGATGAAAAAAAAACAGTGGCATCCACTATAGGGGTCAAAACAGGCAAGATGGAAGTCACAGCATCATGACTGAAGCCCTACCCCTTACTGATGCACATACAACAGGGATGAGGCTTGGATGACAATACTGTGACCATCATCCTGCCTGTTTTGACCTGCCCTGTGGATGCTGCTGAAAAAAAAAAGCACACCAAGGATGAAACACATTTAGAGAAAACAATTCTGAATTGTGAAGTAGAAACCAGAGATAGAAAGTAAAATTGCAGTTGGAATAAAATTGTAGGTGCAACTGAATAATGTTTTTTTTTCAAGGTTTCTTATATCTATGAAATGAAAACATAGTATTTTGTTGGTTGCCCCTTAAAAACTTTCTACATTCACCTTGGTCATCACATTTTAAATTGCTAACATTGATACATCCTGCATTCTACTTATCAAGGTTATCCTGTTAAAACTTACAAGTTTCTTTTGATTTTTATCAGGTGGTGAGTAAAACATTGTTTCATCTTCTCCATAAGTTTTGCCCTTTACATTTTTGTTTTTCTTCTTCCTCTTCCTTTTTCTTTTCTCTTTTTCATTTTCAGACTCTTCACTTGGCATTTTCAAGCTTTCATCTGATAATGCAAGGCGCCTTCGTGAAGCTATTTCCTGGAACATAATATTTTTTTTCAAATGTGCATTTTAAGTGTAGTAGTGATAAGCAAAAGGAATACTGAACTTGTAAAAGCTGGTATCAGCATCTGACTGAAGTTGGAAGCTAAGCAGGGTCAGTACTGGATCAGGGACCATCTGGGAATGAATAACAGACACATATATACACACAGAGAGCCCCTGTCAACACAACACTAATATTATTTACATTACTTCCTCCACTTTAAAATATCAATAGAATTAATCGATTAACAGAATTTACATTTTTAATAATTTTACCATAGTCCCTACCAGATTAATTGAGTTCTAATTTCCCAGTCTGCTTTTGAACAGATTTTCAGCAATCTAACAGTTATTTTTTTTCCTGATACACTGTGTTACAGAGCTTTTGTTTTTAAGGGGAGAGTTGTGAATCCTTATGAAGAGCTTCTTAACTTCATTCCTCAACCATTTTGATATTCTTCATTTGTTTTGAAGTTTGTATTTAATATAGGTTGATGGGCTTCTGATGAATGGTGTTCTGAAATAGATTTATAGCTGTCTGTTCTGTGGAACAAACATTTAAGGTTTCCACCCAAAAGTCCTGCCCACACTTATTTTCAGCATATTCTTTCACTGAAATGTGTATGTTCTCATTTGTATATAGTTGTTGATTTTATTTAGTTATTTCATATTTTGCTCCATTTTCCCCAAATTCTCTATTCTTTGTTTTATTTATTTATTTACTTGGTAAATTTATATAGCTGCCCATCTCACATACATGACTCTGAGCACCATACAAAGTTAAAAACACAAAACAGTACAACAAAATAACCAAAAGCATAACAAAAATCATTAAAAAACCAATACAAACCATTAAAAAGAACATAATCTGCAGGACAGCGCACTCAGTTTATCTAGTAATACAGCCATTTGCAGGCTCCATATCCATGTTACCAGATAGCAAAGCCATGTTTTCAGACCCTTCCAGAAGGCCAGCAAGGTCAGGATCAAGCTGACTTCACGGGGAATAATGTTTCAAAGGGCAGGTGCTATGGCAGAATAGGCTCTCCCTCTGGATCCTGTCAGATGACATTTCTTCATGCGTGGGACCCACAAGATGCCCTTCCTGCCGGACCTGATAGGACAGGTAGATGTAACTGGGAAGCTCCATGCCACGTAGGGCTTTATAGGTCATTACCAGCACCTTGAAGTGTACCCAGAAATAAACTGGCAACCAATGCAGCTTGCAGAGCAGAGGTGTAACATGTGTTGATTTAGGTGTGCACATAACTGTACCACTGCATTTTGCACCAACTGAAGCTTCCGGATGCTCTTCAGGGGTAACCCAACGTAGAGTACGTTACGGTAATCCATGTGTGAGTGACTGAGCATACAGCCTTCTAATCCAGGTATGGGTGCAACTGGTACACAAACTGAAGTTGCGCAAAGGCCTCCTAGCCACGACTGCCACCTGCTCATCTAGGAGTCATGAGTCCAGAAGGACTCCCAGATTGCACATCAGGTCTGTCTGGGGCAGTGCTACCCTATCCAGAACTAGAGATAATAAATTCCCAGATTGAGGTGGCCCCCAAATCCCCAAAATATTCACTTTCTTTATCTAGTTTAGCAAGTTGGGTGAGAAAGTATTTTGTTCTAGGCAGAAAATCTACAGGTAAACCCCAGCTCTACTGCAACATGAATACAAAATGCAATAAAAATAAAACCACATGAAATGTTGCCCTTAAAAAAACCCAATAAAGGCACATGTAGAGAATATTCATCAATCAAGAAGAGCCAGAGATTTTTCAGGAAGATTACGGTCACAATGGCAACAGCTATTAATGATTGATTTCATTCCTATGATTATGTCTGGAATAGATTCCTGCTGTATTATAGAGATTTACAGCTGTAAAATATCATTTACAAACCTTTTCTTTCCTCAGTATTTTTTTTGCTTCCTGAAGTAACATCTCCCTTGCCTTTGTCTGTGCGAGAGTAGCTTTATTTTGCTCTTCGTATGCCATGGATACAACAGCCAGGATTAAATTAAAGAGATAAAATGAACACAGAAAGATGATAACAAAAAAAAACATGCTGTAGGATTTCCCAGATGTTCTGATGACCTGTAAATACAACATTAGTGAATCTCAGTTCCTTGAGATCCCAAAATAAATGTATTATACTAGACCAGGGCTTCTTATAAGACATGCACATATTCTGAACATTTCAAAGAGGTGAATTCGTGAATTTGATGCTGCAAAGGTCATATTGGCCTTATGGTCAAATGAATGAATTGTGGCATTTGATATCATACAGATTGCTAAGTTTATAGTGATTTTTATACTGTTGATATTAGACTAATGACAATAATTTAATACAAGCCATGGATTAAAATAGGATATGAAGCAACTGCATTAACCCAGGAAATAATGTGTTCTTCACTCTGTTTTGCACATTTCTCATCTTCAGTTACCTAAAAGGTTTACCTGTCTATAGAGACATTCCCAGCTGTCCTGCGTCATCAGTCGAAATAATGATAGAAAGGCCCATCCCAAATGATCAAAACTGGTATACCCAAAATCAGGATTCTCTTTAGACTTCACACAAACGCTGTTCATTGGACATTCTGTTTTACTAATAATAGACCAAACATTACATTAGTGTTAGCTTTCACGTAAAAAAGGATTTTTGCTGAAATTGTCTACATCACAGTTGTGATTTTGAATGTTCATCTCTGACTTACTCAAAGTCCACTTATTCTGAAAAGGGAAGCTCCAGGGCTGCAAATGCTTTGATCTAAGCCCTGGTTTTCCTTGTGTGAGCTCACTTGAAACTTACAGAACTGTCTGTGATACATGGCATATATTTATAGCATGAATCCTCTGGCAAAGCGTGGCTCTTTTATGAGATGTCTAGGTGAACCACCAGCGTGCCACAGCCTTTTTGCAGGAACATTGCATGCATCTCCTTCAGATTTACTCCAAAAAACTTCAGGTGTTGCCTTTGCCTCCTGCTTGTATTCAGAATTTTTCCCTGAATTATTACCAGACAATCACATAAACTTCCTGCTCCACTGGAAGACCAGGACTAGTCCAGTTCATTTGCTGCCTGAACCAAAAGATAAAATGGTTGCCCTTTTCAGTTCTATTTTAAGAACCCAATTGGAAGCATACACCTGCACCTGAGGAGAAGAGACATGCTTAATGGGGCACAAGACAGGCTGATCTCCTAGTTCTCCAACAGCTGACCGCTACTATTCCAGCCTCTCAGCCCCTTGAAGCGTTGTGCCCCCTTGGCCTCATGGTCATGCTGGCCCTCAGTGAAGCATATCATACTTACCCCAAAGTTAAATGATCCAGCATTTTAAGAATATTCCTTTTAAAAAAAGGAAGATTAAACAGGAAAAAAAAATCTTACCCACCTCCATTACTATAGCCTCAATGACTCTAAGACAATTTTATTTTAAAGTTAAAATATTTGGAGAAAAAAAGTACTTACTTAGGATCTGGGCTGTAACCACATAGCAATGGTTTAGAAGAGGTATTGAAATAGTCGCCATAATTTTCTGGGGGGAAACAGTGATAGACATTATTTAAAATATCTTCCTATCCTGACATGCATAGTTAAAACCATCCATTGGATAACCCGTGTATAAAGAATAATTCATTACTCTGCTAATTAGCATTTGCTTAACTTTTTAAATAAAAACCTTATTTAGAATCCAAGGGGAGTGGGGGGAGAAGAAAGGACAATGGGAACCAGAAAAATGAAAGGCAAGGGAAAAGGAAAACCTCACAATAATACAAGTGGAAGCATTTCTGAAGAAATAGAAAATATCTGATATATTTCAGTAGACTGCTCCTCTCAAAAGAAAAGATAAATATTTATTGTAAATTCAAAAGTGAAAGGGCAGCCTAACTTTTACAGTAAAAAGGAACTATATCTTCCCTTTTCCTGTGCCTTATTTGTTGGATATCTTTATCATGTATGTTCTCAACCTCAATTTCACAACTGTTTCAGATGAAAGAATGAAATTATTTGGAGCAATGCATTAAGGCAACATAAGATACATGGGGAAACATGATCTTATCATATGTTAAGTCTTCTCTGGCACTTCATACATGAAGAAGGTAAATATTCTTTATGCTCAGCCAGCGAGAAGTTCAACAGTTTTATCAGGTCTGCTTTTGAAAGTGTAAAATTCCTGTTGTTTTGCCTATACAGAGATAGAGAGTTTCTTCAGGAGTTTCCAATATTCTTGGATTGGTGACTATATTTACAATCTTGAGAGTGTACTCATGAAATCAGGGGTATCCATGGAGGGGTCAAAAACTCAAGATTGTAGTCACAACCACATGATTGAAGACCTCCTTTTATACACATGTACAACATCAATTCCTATACAAAAGAGACAGTGCTTTGATTGAGTGGTCGCAGCTGCCATCTTGACTTTTTTTTTATGTCCTCCATGGATGCTGCTGCACAAAAAGGCCATAGTGAGTTTGGCCAGCCACAAATCATACATTTTGTGGAAGACAAACTGAGACTACCTCTTCCTCTAACTCCAGGGGATGGCTCTTTAGTTTCCCTCGTCTTTTGGGGTGGGGCAGGGCAAATATCTCTAAACTAAGCCCTGGGTTGCAACCACCTCCATATTTTCATTTCTACAATGCCCATGGAGTCCGTATGATAATGTAAGGTTTGGGGAAATAGTGTTGTCAGAACCTGCATCACCCAACTGTTGTTGTTTTCCATTGTATTGCATTCGTTGGGAGTTGGATTGATTTGTTT